TGGTTAAGACCTCACCTGGAGATTGCAGCCTCTAGGCCCAAGGTCTGGGGTTGGAATCCCCCCACTCTGCTTTTTCTGATTCAGCCCACGCGCCACATTCTGCCTAAGGCTAGGAAAATCACACGGGGTGGTAGGGACCTGTAGGGTTATCCATCGTGAGCAATTGGTTCTCTAATTAATTTGCTTCTCTAGAAAAACATGGGAGCTCTGGTAGCATAGTGGCTAAAGCACTTGACTGCTAACCAGAAGGCTGGCGGTTCAAATCCACCAGCCACTCCTCGGAAGGAAGGTTGGGCAATCCTACTTCCGTAGTGATACTGCCTCGGAAACCCAAGGAGGGGTCGCTATGAGTCGGGGCCAACTCGACGGCACATAACAGCAACAGAAAGACATGGAACATTGTTACTGGAATATTGATCAAAGACCTTTCTGGCATTTGTACCTGCACCTTTCCATTGGTACGACTGTGAGGTAGCTATTAGCATCCCCGTTCTATTGTTGCGAGTAACAGTTGTGCAGTGGTTAAAGTGCTCAGCTGGTAACCGGAAGGTGGACGGTTCAAACCCACCAGCCGCCGCGAGGGAGAAAGATATGGCAGCAGTCTGATTCTGTTAAGTACCTACAGCCTTGGAGACCCTATGGGGCAGTTCCACTCTGTCCTCTAGGGGCGCTGTGAGTCAGAATCAACTCCAGGCAGTGGGTTTGGGTTGGTCTCTTTCTACAAAGCAGAGCAAGATCATCCAGTCTGCCTTGACCCGTTGTTGTTCTTAGGTGCCCTGGAGTCGGTCTGACTCATAGCGACCCTTCAACCATGGAGGCCCTCAAATACAAAAGCATTAGTTTTAACTTGGTGAATGATTTTCACAGCCTGGGATGGAGGACCCCCTTCCGGTGGGGCCCGGGGCCCTGCCATACCTGCCATACCTTAGATGTGCCTGTGGATGGGGGAGGGAAGGGGAGAAAGATGGAGGGAAGCCAGAGGGAGATGGGGGGAGGGGAGATTGGATGCTGGAAGGAGTGGGAGATACTGGGGGAGGGGAGGGGAGGGGCTGGGCGGAGGCTGGGAGCGGCTGGGCGGAGCCTGAGAGGGGCTGGGCGGAGGCTGGGAGCGGCTGGGCGGAGCCTGAGAGGGGCTGGGCGGAGGCTGGGGGCGGCTGGGCGGAGCCTGGGAGCGGCTGGGTGGAGGCTGGGAGCTGTTGGGGCTAGGCTGGGGGCTGGGGTGCTGGAGGGAGGTGGGGGTTGCGCAGGTGGGCTGGAACTAGGCCTGGCGTCTTCAGTGTGTTGCTTTGCTCTCCTCTGAGGGGTGAGGTTTAGAACCCAGGTGTCCCCTCTTCTACGCATCACACAGCTTATCCCCCTGGAAGGGAGGTGCTTAGAGCTCCTGTCCGCTATGAAGGGGGCTCAGCCAACACCGGAAGCTCTTGGCCAGGCTGGCTTTTACCTGGCTCTGTCGCCAAGGCTGGTTAACCTGCGAGCCTTGTTCTCCGCTGTGACATGGGTCATCGGTAGCACCGGTACTATTGTCGCCCTTGCTAGATTGTGGTCACTTGCATTATTACAGCTCTCATAACCAGCACCTTCCCTGGCCCACCTGCCACGTGCCAGGCGTTGTTCTCTGGCCTTTGGAGAGTGGCACATCCGATCCCCTCCCTGCCCTCCAAGCTCCAGGTGCCTGTCCTGAGAGCACAGATTTGGAGAAACAAGGAAGGTGGGGAGATGTGGGAGCCCAAGTTCCCGTATCTGTTCAGTAACTGCGAACCAAGTGGTAAAATACAAAAGGACCCTGAAACCTCTCTAACAGAAATACAAGCCTGTTCAGGAAAGTCGAAGCCTCTGGATTGTGTTGAAGGAATGAACTGCCCCCCGTGAGTGGGGCTGAACCTGGGGCGGCTCTGGGCTGCCCTGTAAAGGAACAAGGTGGAGAAGCTCCAAGGAGCCGGCCCCTTAGGTGAGAGGGGCTGGGGCGGGCTTGGGAGGTGGTTTGGGACCAAGGAACCAGCGCCCTCTGGTGGCCAGCTAGAAACATTGCTAGCCAGACTCCAAGGGTTGGGATGGGGCGTGTGGGGGATAGACCAGGAGAAATGCAGAATGGAGGGTGAGTTAGGAAAGAGAGGGGAATGACCCCCTGTCTGCCACCTCCCACCCAGCGCTTCCTCCGGGGGATCTGTGGGCACAGGGCCGCTTCCCTGGAGAGGGCAGATCCAGCTTGGTTGCCTTGGGGGCACGCCTCTCGTCCGGACACCATCCGCTGCCCAACTGAAACCCTCTTCCCCTCTGCTCTCCAGAAGGCTCCATTCCTTTCCCAGTAACGCCCGCTCCTACACTGGTCCAGGTGGCGCTCCAGTGAACTCTAGGCTCAAGCTGGGTGCTCCCATTCCTTCTCCCCGGGGCTCATCCTGGCCTTACCCCTGGGGCTGCAACTGTGAGAGGTGGGGTAATTGAGCAGCAGCAGGCGGGGGCCCAGCCCAGCTCTGCGCTGGTCAGCTGCGTGGTCGTGGCCTTGACCTCTGAGAGCCACTTGCACAGCCAGAAAGTAGAGTCAGATCGCCTGCTCAGATACCACGAATATAAAGATTTCCCCACTAACCTTTATTTTTAGTATTTTTTTTATCGTGATAAAAATATAAATACCAAATCTTCTATTTTTAAAATTCTCAAACATCCAGAGAAGTTAAAAGAACCATGCAACAAACACCCCCTCCCCTCCTTGATTCAAATCTTGTTACCGTTTTGCCAAGGAGTGCCTGGGTGGCGCCAATGGAAAGGTTGGTGGTTCAAACCCACCAGAGGCAGCTAGGAACACAAATGCCTGGGGTTGGGGCTTCAGAAGGTCAGCCCTGAAGACCGATGGAGTGCAGCGGTACTCTGCTCACACGTGGGGTTGTCAAGAGTCAGAATGGAACCAACGGCAACTTCATTTTGTGGGTCATTTTGCCACATTTGCCTTGGTCCTCGAGCTAACTTCACTTCCCTACTTTCCAGCATCTTCTAAGAACAAAGACATCTACTTACCACAGACTAGAATGCCACCTCAGAAAGTGAGCGGTCACCCCTGTTACCATGTAGTACCTATCCTATCCTTATTCACACGTCCCTAGCTCTGGTGGCATAGTGCTTAAGGCAACCAGAAGGCTGGCGGTTCAAACCCACCAGCCACTCCTCAGAAGGAAGGTTGGGCAGTCTACTTGCGTAGTGACACCGCCTCGGAAACCCAAGGAGGGGTCGCTGTGAGTCGGATGTGACTGGACGGTACTGAGTTCTTTGAGTGAGTTGTTCCCAGAATGCCTTTCAAGCTTTTGAAAAAAAAACAGCATCCAACCAAGGTTCCCAGTTCTTTTCTTAAATATTTTATTGTGTTTTCAGGGAAGGTTTCCGCAGCAGTTTCGGGGTCCCCGCTCAACAATTTCTAAACAAGCTCTTTGGTGACAACGTTCCGTGCTGACGCACGGCCTGGTTCTCAGTGTGTTTCCACTTGCCTGGTGCTGGTCCCCTTAATTCTGACTTCGTGGGCTGTTTGGCCTCATCTAGGTGATTTTAGTTTTTGTAAAGGAGCATAGATAGCAGTTAGGGGTGACAGTATTTTTTTTTTTCCAGCAAACTTGTTGTTTAGCCAGAAGGTGACATCGGGAGTTAGTAGGCTTGCCACTGCTGATCACACTTTCTCTTTGGTCACCTCTAAAACAAGCCCCTCCCCAGGCACTGATGTGTTACACGGTCTGTCTAACAAATGTGTCTCCTGAATGTTCCATCTTGGAGGGTTTGTCCCTTATTTCCCATGTTGCCGTTAGGTTCCAACTCACAGTGACCCTGTGTACATCTGAACAAACACTGCCCAGGCCTGCGCCGGCCTCCTCCTCCTTGCCCTGCCTGAGCCCATTCTGGCAGCCACTGTGTCGGTCCATCTTGCCAAGGGTCCTCCTCTTTCTCACCGACCCTCCACTTTACAAAGCACGGTGTCCTTCTCCAGGCACTGGTCCCTCCTGAAGACACGTCCCAAGTACGCGAGGCATGGCCTCCCCATCCTCACTTCTAACGGGCACTCTGGCTGTACTCCTTCCAAGACGGATTTGTTGGTTCTTCTCGCCGTCCGTCCCGTATTCAGCATCATTCACAGACATCACTCTTCTCTGGTCTTCCTTATTCATGGTCCAACTTTCACATGCATGTGAGGCGATTGAAAACACCATGGCTTGGGTTAGGTGCACCTCAGCCTTCCAGGTGACACTACTGTAATGTCCTTACACTGGAAGCTGGGTCTAGGGGCTGTGTTAGATTGAGATGGAATGCTTTTGGCAAACTCCATTCTTGACGGTGCTGTGGGCTCCACACAGTAACACAGCAGGGGGCTGTTCTCGGGGATGTGAAATTTAATCCCTGGGGTGACAAGATGCAGACTTCTGGATACCCAGGACAGGACAATAATACTATCAGTTTTCTCTGCTTTTTGGTGCTTTGTTCAGGTTGAACCACTACCCACGAGCAGCGGTAACTGTTTCCTTGGAAGGCGTCTTAACGTTGACTGGAGTCCCTGGGTTGTGCAAACGGTGAGTGCACTTGACTGCTAACCGGAAGGTTGGAGGTTCAAGTCCATCCAGAGATGCAGCGGAAGGAAGGCCTGGCCGTCTCCTTCCGAAACACCCAGCCGTTGACAGCCTTACGGCACACGCTTCTCCGTATACACACACGGGGTTGCCGTGAGTCGGAACGGTTTTAACCGGTTTTCACATCGGTTGGTGACTCGGGAAGCAGCGGGCAGGTGGGGGTGAGTGCCTCCGGCCCAGACCCCAACTCTGGGTCTTCAGCTTCCCAGGTGGGGAAGGAGGGAGCGACCTGAGAGGAAGCCAGGTGCCAGGAGGCGAAGGATGCTCACAGAAGCCGGCCCGGCCGCCCAGGAGCAAGAGCAGCTTGGCGCCGTCAAACTGGAAGACGACGAGGCCGTGGGGCAGCAGGAGCCCAAGCACCTGGACAGCAGGCTGCGGCCCGAGGTGGCCCACCAGCTCTTCAGATGCTTCCAGTACCAGGAGGACATGGGCCCGCGGGCGTCCCTGGGCCGGCTCCGCGAGCTCTGCGGCCACTGGCTGCGGCCGGCCCTGCACACCAAGAAGCAGATGTTGGAGCTGCTGGTGCTCGAGCAGTTCCTGAGCGTGCTGCCGCCGCACCTGCTGGGCCGGCTGCAGGGGCAGCCGCTCCGCGACGGCGAGGAGGTCGTGCTGCTGCTCGAGGGCGTGAGCCTGGAGGCCGGCAGCGCGGGGCCGCTGGTAAGAGGCGGCTGGGAGGGCAGGCAGGGCCACGGGCTTCACTGCCCGTCCGTGGTGTATCTCAGCTTTTAAGACTTTCCTCACTATTAAGCTTGCTGCAGATTTCTTTTTTTAATACGGGCAGTCCCTGGGTTATGAACTTCCAACGACAGACAACTGTTGTTGTTAGGGGCCAGTGAGTCAGCTCTGACTCCTAGTAACCCGTGTCCACAGAACGAAACCCTGCGCCACCCTCACAGTCCTTGCTACACCTGAGCCCGTCGTCGCAGCCCATGTCACTCCATCTCTAGGAGCTTCCTCTTTATTGCCGACCCCCTACTTTACCAAGCACGTCCTTCTCCAAGGACCCTCCTGACAACACGTCCAAAGGACATGGGTCCGGCTCTCATGCTACGTCCCCTTTAATGTGATGGAAACCCGCTCTCACTTTGAAAGGACTGAACCAACCCCGACTCTCAACAGATTCCTCCTCAATGTTACCTTCGCTTGCTGCACACACAGCTTTTCAGTCAGTCACTGAAAAGGCTTTGAGCCTGTTCTCCAATTAAAACTAAAAAAAAAAACAAACAAACTCAAACTCACTGCCAGCGAGTCAGGTCCAACTCAGAGAGACCCCGTTGGGTTTCCAGTCTTTACAGAAGTAGATTGCCCCGTCTTTTCACAGAGTGGCTGGTGGGTTTGAACCGCCAACTTTCTGGTGAGCAGTCAAATGCTGTAGGCACTGCGCCACCAGAATCCCACTTTTGCCTTCAATAAGGCTAAGTGACAACTGAATGCCCTTGATCCGACTTAGCTACAGATTCTTAAAGACACAGTCAGGACCGGATCTCAAGGCTTCGTTCACAACACGGGGAATACCTGTAATTTCTTTTTCTTGTTGAACATACACAGCACAACATACGCCAGTTCAACCGTTTCAATGTCCATTCGGTGACACTGATTCCATTCTTTAAGCTGTGCAACCATCCTCATCCTCTCTTGGTGAATATGCCTCCCCCATTAACAAGAACTCACTGCCCCCTGAAGGTGCGCACTTCTTTATATTCTTTGACTATTAAGTAAAATCCTTTCCACTCCTGGTTTGCCAAGGGTTTTCCTAAAAGCATACTTGACACCTGGGTGGTATCAAATCATTTTTTCCTGTGGGTCCACAGCAGTGATCTGAGCCGTGGGGGGTTCATTGGGGTGATACCTCGGCTACCAACTGAAAGGCTAAAGATTCGAGTCCAGCCCAGGGATGCCTCGCAGGGAAGGGCTGGTGACACACTTCAGAAAAACCAGCCACTGAAACCCTGTGGAGCAGAGTTTGACTCTGTTTGTTTGTATAAAAATGATTGTAAGGCTTTTCCCTTCAATCCACTAAGATGGGATGTTGAGTATTAATTTTTCTGACTTTGACCCATACTTGAATTCTTGGCATAAGCCCTATTAATCATTTTTTTTTTCCCAAGAAAACTTATTTTTTTATACTCGTCGCCAATATTTTAATATGCTTATAGATCATAGCAACCGTTGGGTTTCTGAGGAAGCAGATTGCCCCGTCTTCCTTCTGTGGAGCAGGTGGTGGGTTTGAACCACCAACCCTCTGGTTAGCAGTCAGACGCCTTAGGCACTGAGCCCCCAGAGCTCCTAAACATGACTCGAAAAAAAGAAAAATTTGCCACTGGGTTTATCTGCTAGTATTTTGTTCAGAATTTTTCTACCCATGGCTGTGTTTTTCTTTTCCGTGCTGTTCTGACTAGATCTTGAAATCAAAATGCATTTTATAAAATGAATTGTCTGCCTTTCCTTCTTTTATTTTCATTCTCTGAAACGTAGATACACACTCAGGATTTTGTTTCCTAAAACTTGAGGAGAAACTTTCTGCTTCAGGTGATGGGAAATTGACAGTGATCAAGGGCAAGAGTTGCCCAGCCATTTGTGTAAATCTGTCAGTAAGTCTGACCCTTTCCTGGTATGACTGAACTGTAGCAGTACAGTCAGACTTAGCAAACGTGATAGACATTTACAACAAGAATCTGAACAATCAGCTGCTGAGGCTGCCTTGTACAAACAAAAACAACAGAAAGTCTAGTCTGACTTGCCTGTTTTTTTTTAAATATAGGAATCCCTGGAAATACCACCTTCCTCTGCCCACCGCTTCCTCCTTAACTTCCTGTCCCGTTCCTGGTGGGTCTCACTCACCTGGCCTCTTCCCCTTTGGAGTCGGTAGGACATGAACACACGTATACTCTGTAAAATACTTTACAGGATTTTAGCTTCAACACCGGCAAGAATTACCCCAGTACAGATGTCACCGCAGAGGACCAAGGGGGCCCTGCCCAGGTGCCCAGCCACATCCCCAAAGAGGAAGTACCCTCCGAAGAGGCTCCAGGTCCAGATGCCACCCAGCCAGGAGCCACCAAGCCTTTGGAGCCAGGCACCTGGGTACTCAGCCCAAGTCCAAAGCAGCCACAGAGCCCTAGTCCCAAAAGAACCTTCCAGACTCTGCAAGAAATTGGTGAGAAGCCCAGGAAGGTGGAGAGCTGGCCGTGTGGGTGGAACCTGGGAGGCAGGCTATTTGGGAACTGGGCAGCCTCCTAGTTGGCCGGGATGGGAGAGATCCAAGATGTCTCTCACAGGACTGTGGCAGTGGGGTACCTGTCCCTGAAGCCACGTGGCGGGCAGGGCTGGTGGCTTCTAACAGCTCTGTCTTTGTCTACCCCAACGGTGGCAGCTACACAGGGCCCCGTGGTATGGCCAGAGAATTCCCAGGATCAAGAATTGGCGGCTGTGTTGGTGAGACGGGCTGGTTGCCTCACCTGAGGTGGTTGGCACCTTCTGGAACTTTCTCAAGCTCTGTAGGTTTAGCCAATCCTTATCTTCCTTTAAGGAGCTCTGGTGATGTAGTGCCTAAGGCATCTGACTGCTAACCAGAAGGTTGGCGGTTCAAACCCACCAGCCACTCCACTGAAGCAAGACTGGGCAATCTGCTTCCATAAAGATTTACCATCTCGGAAACCCAAGGGGGGTTGCTATGAGCCAGGATCACTTGATGGCAGTGGGTTGGGTTGGGTTGGTTTTGGTATCTTCCTTTTTTGAAAGCCTTCATCCCACCCCTACCCCGACCTCAGCCACTCCTCACTCACGGAGGCTCTCTGCCATGCCTCTGGTTCCAGGAATCCTTGACCTTTGAAGACGTCCCTGCCAAGAAGGCGTGGCCTGTGCACCCTCTAGGTAAGAAGCCTTCCCCCAACTTACTGGGAGATCCTTCCTCGGGTGCCGGGAGTGGTCCCTGAGGCTTCAGATGCCGTCTGGCTCTTCTTGTCTCTTAAAATTGATATTCTTTTTTTTTTTTTTTTTAAGGTTTACTGTATCTGGTCTAATTAGCACCCCATTTCCTTTGGGCATTTACAGCAGTTGTAGAGGGAGTGACTGATTAATGGGCATAGGGTTTCCATTTGGGGTGATGAACATGTTCTGGAATTAGATGGCAGTGATGTCTGAACACAGGGTGAACGTAATTAATGTCACTCAACAGCACACTTAAACCTAGTTGCAAAGCTAAAAAAAAAAAAAAAAAAAAAATGTGTGTGTGTATATACATATAGATGTATAGATATATTTTACTAAAATCCAAACAAAAATAGGTGATGATGAAAAAAGGGCCTTCTGGCTTCACCCCCACCCTGTGCCCATCAACGTCTTTGCTGACACTGGGGTCTCTCTGCACCCAGAGCAGTGAGGTTCTGGCCTTTCCTGGGAGTCCCTCTAAATCAACCCGACCATCTTCGTTTCCTTCTTTGTCCCTAGGATTGGAAAGCAGGACTCCAAACAAAGAGGAATTTAAACTAGGAGAGCCCAGAGGGGCTGCCTGGGGCCCTGCCGTCTCAGGAGAGTTGAGCACAGCCAGTCCTGGCCAGGCGGAAGACCCCCAGGACCAGAAGGCCGGCCAGAGCCCTGCGGTGGGCGACACCGGTGGCCAGGATTCCCCTCCTGGCAGGACTGAGGTGGTGGAGGCCCCGGCAGCCGGCGGGCCCCCCAAGCCCGAGCCGAACGTGCGGCTCATCTGCACCGAGTGCGGCACGAGCTTCGCGCACCTGTCGCTCCTGGAGGCGCACCGCCTGCGCTCGCACGGCGGCGGGCGCACCTTCGCGTGCCTGTGCTGCGGCAAGCGCTTTGGCCGCAGCTCCGTGCTCAAGCTGCACATGCGCACGCACACGGATGAGCGCCCGCACCCCTGCCACCTGTGCGGCCACCGCTTCCGCCAGAGCTCACACCTGAGCAAGCACCTGCAGACGCACGCGGAGCCCGCCTTCCTGTGTGCGGAGTGCGGCCAGGGCTTCCAGCGGCGGGCCAGCCTCCTGAAGCACCTGCTGGCGCACGCGCAGGACCAGAACCAGGCCCAGAAGCCACCCTGCGGCCCTGCCGAGCCCAAGGCCGAGGCGCAGCCGCCGGCGCCGGAGCTCACCGTGGTCCTGTGCTCACACTGCGGCCACACCTTCCAGCGCCGCTCCAGCCTCAAGCGCCACCTGCACATCCACGCCAAGGACAAGGGCCACCAGTGCACCGAGTGCGCCAGCAGCGCCCAGCCGGCCCCCGAGCGCAGGCCCTACGTGTGCGACATTTGCAGCAAGGCGTTCCGGCGCAGCGAGCACCTGGTGGCCCACCGGCGCGTGCACACGGGCGAGCGGCCCTTCTCCTGCCAGGCCTGCGGCCGCCGCTTCAGCCAGAGCTCCCAGCTGGCCAGCCACCAGCGCGTGCACACGGGCGAGAAGCCCTACGCCTGCTCGCAGTGCGGGAAGCGCTTCGTGCGGCGCGCAGGCCTGGCCCGCCACCTGCTGACTCACGGCGGCCCGCGGCCCTACCACTGCGCCCAGTGCGGCAAGAGCTTCAGCCAGACGCAGGACCTCACCCGCCACCGGCGAAGCCACACGGGCGAGAAGCCCTGCTGCTGCAGCGAGTGCGGCGAACGCTTCAGCCAGAGCGCGCACCTGGCCCGCCACCGGCGCATCCACACCGGGGAGAAGCCCCACGCCTGTGACACCTGCGGCCACCGCTTCCGGAACAGCTCCAACCTGACCCGCCACCGCCGCAGCCACACGGGCGAGCGGCCCTACAGCTGCCCCACGTGCGACCGGAGCTTCCGGCGCAACGCGCACCTGCAGCGGCACCTGGCCACCCACCTGGGGGCGGGGGGGGAGGAGGCGGCGGCCGCGGCACCGCCGCCGGCAGAGGTTCCCCAGGAGTGCGTGGAGTGTGGCAAGAGCTTCAGCCGCAGCTGCAACCTGCAACGTCACAGGCTGGTGCACACCGGCGCCAGGCCCTACTCCTGCCCACAGTGCGGCCGCAGCTTCAGCCGTAACTCCCACCTCATGCGTCACCTGCGGACCCACGCTCGCGAGATCCTGTACTAGCTTGGCCAATCGGGCCAGGCCTGGCCATCCCCGCCCCACGCCGGGCCTGCGGCAGAGGCCTGCGGTGCATCCACACCCCCCAACACCCTCCACTGGCGCCTATGCGCCACTCCCTACCAGAGCACCCCCTCCAGGCCTCAAGAGTGTATTTCAAAACCCCTAAGTAAATGACCTTTTTGAAAGCAAATGCTCGCTCTTTTATTATTATTTTTTTTTATTATTTTTATAATTTGGGTGGAAGTTTACAAAGCAAATTGGTTTGACATTCATGCACATTTTGTTTCCTGACGCTGCAGTCCTCCGATTTGACGCCTCTTCTCCCTTCCTCCCTGTGGTTACCATTTCCCCGAGCTCTTCTTTTCTGTCCTGTCCTGCTTTCTGAGCCTTATTTATTTTTTTTAATTGCAGCAGAATGACATCCGGTCGTCTCCACACTGTGTCCAATGACGCCCTTCTCCCGCCTCCAGCGCCCTTTCCAGGATGTGATGTGGGAACCAGAAAGACGCAGTGTGTGTGTGTGGGGGGGGCGCTGCCCAGATAGAGCCAGCGGTGGGTAACATACCGGAACCGCAGGCTTTTGGCCCTGGAAGTATTCTTCCCCCAGGATACTCCTATGGCTGCCCTGTCAACTACCGCGTCCACTAGCCACGTGTGGTTCTTTATGTTTAAATTGGGTAAAATTTGAAATTTCATTCTTGGGTTGCACTGGGCACGTTTCAAGTGCTCGGCGGCATGGCTGTCAGTGGCCAGCGCCAAGGTGCAGCATTTTCATCTCGGCAAGCTCTGCTGGCCAGTGCTGGGTGCCCTGGGTGGAAGGTGGCATTCATGCTCGGCAGTGTCCATCTTTTCCAGGTCCGAAGCACCAAAGGAGATGGGAAGAGTTGACGCAGAAAGACCTGGATGTCTAAAAACGATGTGCTTTTGTTTTTTGTGGTTGAGTACACACTGCTGACCACCAGTTCAGCAGTGTCTCCGTGTACAATTCAGTGGCTTTGATGGCATTCTCTGAGTTTGGGAACCATTCTCACCCTCCTCGGAGTTGTCCCTCCCCGGTTAACATCAACTCACTGCCCCCTAAGGTTCCCATCTCATCTTGCCAGTTGCTGCTGTCAATCTGACCCCATCAGATCTTACAGCATGACGCTCCAAGGCAAACGCTCTTTACTAGTGAAGCTAAACTTGCTTTTCAGAAGACTTCAGGGCATTTGTTTTTGGCTTAAGGTTTAAAGATGGGCTCGGGGCAATAGTTTCAGGGGTTCATCCAGCCCCCTGGCTCCAGAAGATCTGGAGTTCATGAGAATTTGAAATTCAGTTCTATATCTCCCCCCTTTTGATCAGTGTTCCTCCACGGATTCTTTGATCAGAATGCTCAGTAATGGTAGCCAGGCACCATCTAGTTCTGGTTTCGTGGCAGAGGAGGCGGCAGTTCATGGCGGCAATTAGCCACACATTCGACTTCCTCCTGCAGTTTCTGACTCTCCTAGTGTAGCTCCAGGCAAATAGAGACCAATTGTACCTCACATGAACACTAGCAGCCATTTAAGACCTGCAAGAAACTAGGAGGTCCAACACATGTTGTTCGGACAATTACCTGGGATGTCCCACGGAAGCAGGGTCCTTGGCTTTGTCAAAAATAATACCTTGTGTTTTCAGTGAAAGTTTATGCGGCAAATTAGATTCCTGTGGCGCAGTGAATGAGCTGGTCTGGTTCTTCTAGCCGTGGTCTCTGCAACTGCCACCAGATGACTGGGTGGAAGTATGAAAAGTGAGGTCCTTGTGGCCCACCAGGTGGACTGGATAGCTTGTTATCAATGTGAATAAGGTACATGGCACCCTTGTGCAGATAGGACCATGGAAATCAGGTGGATGGAACCCTAACACAGGGGTTGGCTGGTTTTGCTATTCTGCTACGCTCAGAATGATCCTTCCCAGAGATGGAGAGGGGGACTCTCACTATCATCAAGACAGAGAGCAGGCAGAAGGGGAGTGTGTCCTTAGACCCAAGATCCCTGTGCTGGCCTCCTTGGTAAAGAGAGAGTGGCAGCAGAACTGAGAGACCGACATGAGACAGAGCGGCAGCATGCCAGCCCACAGAGTGAGAAAGCTGAGTGCCTTCAGGCAGGCTTGCTGGTGGAGTAGGGTGCACCTATCAGCAGAGCTGAAAGAGTTTTGTGGCACTTGCTCGAGCAGGGTGGACACCAGGCTAAGAGGCCATGGGCTAAAGAGGTGTGACTGCAGGCATGGCCAAGGGGAGGCTGTTCTGATGAAGAACTGTACCCTGAGCATGCCTGAATCTGAGTTGTAGCCTTTTACTTCCCTAATAAACCCCATCATCATGAGTATTGTCTGTGAGCTCTGTGTGGCCATTGCAACAATTCATCAACCTCCACAGAGAAGTTGAGAGTGCTGTGGGAGGGACGGTTGGTGTCTGAAATTGGCGGACAGACTGGTGGGTGGCAGCTTGTCTGACTTCACGGGAATCAGCCTTGGCCTGATGCTGCTGGTGGTGATTCTATCTCCTCCATGTGAAGTTGGAGGGATCAGAGGACTCCACCCCCACATCCTTTTTGCAGTTCCCATTTTAGGATTTCTGCATAAATCAATCAATGACATTCACTGCATTTTCCACAGCACGTCAACCTTCTCATTTTCATTCTGGTTGTGCCATTTCCGCGAATCTAGTTTCCCTGTCCCACCTTGCCTTCTCATCTTAGCTTTAGGGTTGGTCTCAGAGAGATGACTTTTAAAAGGAGCAAGTACTCATGGGTGATATTGCTTATTTTATGTGCAAATCTGTTACTTAGGTGACTTCTGGGAGTGGTTTCAGTTCCAAGTTTAGAGGGTATCTCAAGGTGATTGCTGCAGGGGCTTCTCTGGCTTAAACTGGTCCAGAAGAGCTGCACTCAGGGCCCAGCTACTGTGCCTCCACTCAGACGGAGGTCAGCTGATTTCACACGACCTTTCCTACACTCCAGACAGTCCTTCTATTTCTTTTTTCACCCAGGATGCCATCTCTTTATGGTGATGACAGTCCGATGTTCCCAAACTTCTCTAGTGAAGGAAGACATCAGGACTGTTATAAGACATCTCCTGCTTTGCAGCTTTGGTGACTGATTCAAACCGACTATGCTCATAGGGAAAGCAAAGCTTGCCTTCCCACCACCTGGCCCTGACCCCCATTAGGCAGTTGAGGGCTGCTTCTAGGGAGGAAAGGTTTTTTTTAATCACATGACTTCTGTTAAGCATTCAGGAAAGAAAAAAAAAAAAAAAAGCTCAACTGGCCCCAAAGGACACTCTCACTGTCTGTCCCCTTTGTGGCTTTTTCGGGACTGGGTATTGCCTCGGTTGCTTGGTTTGTTTTCCCATCTCCTGGCACATCTTTGCTGCTTGTTGTCATTATTGTTAGGTGCCACCAAGTTGGTTCTGACTCATAGCAACATTAGTGCACAACAGGCTGGAAATGTTGACAGTCCTGCGCCATCTCACAACTGTTGCCACGTTTGAGCCCATCCTTGAAGGCACTCTGTCTTTCCATCGCGTGATTTCTGTCTTCTTAGCTGACCTGCATTACCAAGCATGGGGTCCTTCTCCAGGGAATGGTCTCTCCTGATAACATGTCCAAGCTAAGCAAGACAAAGTCTGGCCATCCTGGCCTCTGAGGAGCATTCCAGCTGTACTTCCTCCAAGACAGATCTGTTCATTTTTCTGCCAGTTCATGGTATTTTTGGTATTCTTCACCAACATCACAATTCAAGTGCATCAATTCTTTGGATTTCCGTATTCATCGTCCAGCTTTCACATGTGTATGAGGTGACTGAAAACACCGTGGCTTGAGTCAGGTGCACCTTAGTCCTCAAAGTGACATCTCTGCTCTTCAACACTGTAAAGAGGCCTTTTGCAGCAAGTTTCCGAGTACAATATGTCAAATTATTTCTTTTTTACTTTTTATTGTGATTTGGGTGAAAATTTACAGAGCAAGTTCATTTTCCATACAGCAGTTCATACACATTTTGTCTCATGACATTGACTGCAATTTCCCACAATGGAACAGCTCTCTTCCTACTTCCTCCCCGCAGTTACCTCTTCCCTGTGTCCTTCCCTCCCATGCACTCCACCCCAGCTGTCTCCCTGTGCAAACACTGCCCTTCTCTTCTCCCACCATTGATTGCTCTAAGGGTGTTGACGGTGGATCCCAGTAAAATGAAATCCCTGACAACTTCCATCTTTTCTCCGTTTATCATGATGTTGCTTATTGGTGCAGTTGTGAGGATTTTCATTTTCTTTATGCTGAGATGTAATCCACACTGCAGACTGTGCTCTTTGGTCTTCATCAGTAAGTGCTTCAAGTCCTTTTCACTTTCACCAAGCAAGGTTGTGTCGTCTGTGTATCTCAGGTTGTAAATGAGTCTTCCTCCAATCCTGATGCCATGTTCTTCTTCATATAGTTCAGTTCCTCAGATTATTTGCTCAGCATACCAATTAAATAAGCTGGTGAAAGGATACAACGCTGACTTACATCTTTCCTGATTTTAAACCACGCAGTATCCCCTTGTTCTGTTTGGACAACTGCCTCTTGGTCCATGTATAAGTTCCTCATGAGTATAATTAAGTGTTCTGAATTCCCATTCTTCTCAATGTTGTCCATGCTTTGTTATGATCCACAGAGTTGAATGCCTTTGCATAATCAATAAAGCACAGTTAAGCATCATTCTGGTATTCTTTACTGTCAGCCAAGATCCATCTGACATCAGCAATGATATCCCTCGTTCCATGTCCTCTTCTGAATCCAGCTTGAATTTCTGGTTGTTCCCTACCAATAAAATGCTGCAACCATTTTTGAATTATCTTCAGCAAAATTTTACTTGTGTGTGATATTAGGGATATTGTTTGATAATTTCTGCATTCTGCTGGATCACCTTTCTTTGGAATGGGCACTAATATGGATCTCTTCCAGTTGGTTGGCCAGGGAGCTGTCCTCCAAATTTCCTGGCAAAGCCAAGCGAGCACCTCCAATGCTGCATCCCTTTTAAAAGGTAGCATATGATCAAGAACCAGTGGTGTTGAAGGAAGAAGTCCAAGTTACACTGAAGGAACTGGTGAAAAACAAGGCTCCAGGGATGGATGGAAAACTCAATGACATATTTCAACAAACAGTCAAGTACAAAAAAGACATTTGCACACAAAGAAAAGATCATAGCACAGGAAGTGCTTGGTAACTGGCTTGATTTGGGCAAACAGTCCACTACTGGGAGGGATGTTGTGGAGACCTCCAGCTCCCATTGAAGCGGCCGAGGGCTCTCCAGGGATCCCATGTAACCAGAAAAGGCTTTCATTGCCCCCAGCTAGAGTCTGGGGCTCCCCCTTGCCCTTGTTCTTCCAAGGAGCTTTTGGGCCAGGGAATGGCACCACCCTGGGACCTGACGTAACAGCTCCAAGACCACAAGCACCAAGGATATCACCTTCCCCTCCCATCTTCTCCTCTGCCACCCTAGTTCTCAAGTGCATGTTCCAGCACCCCTGCCCTGACCTCATCCCTCCCCAGCCCCACCCCTTCCCATGTGGGGTGCAGGGGATTACGTGGTCTGGCCCTTCTAGCCATGGTCTTTGTGACTCCCACGAGATGATTGGGTGGGACTATGCAGATGTGAGTGGCTTGTGGCCCATCAAGGGGATTGGCTAGCTTGTTAGCAGTGTATGTAGGCTACATGGCACCCTCGTGCAGGTGGGACCATGCAAATAAGGTGCATGGAAGCCTAATGTGGATTGGCCAGTTTTGCCATCTGCTCGCTTCAAATGAGCCCTCCCAGAGCAGAAGGAGAATCTCACTGCCATGGGGGGGGGGGGGAGGGGGGGGGGGGGGGGGGGGGGGGGGGGAGAGATAGAAGAGCCAGGTGTGGAGTGCTTCCTTGGACCTCAGATCCCTGCGTCAAGAGACAGCAGACATCGGCGATGGCAGCTGAATCAAGAGTCTGGCACAAAACAGAACGGTGGTGAGGTAGGCCCACAGAGAGAGAAAGCTAAGTGCCTTTGTGCAGGAGGCTTGCTGGCAGAGTGGGGTGCACCTAGATGCACCTGTGGACAGGGATAAAAGAGCTCTGTAACATTTGCTGGAGCAGGACAGAGGCCAGGCCGAGGGCCAAAGAGAGGCATGCCTGGGCAGGGCCAGGGGAGACTATCCTGATGGAAGAACTGTGTCCTGAGTTCCTGAACCAGAGCTGTGACCTGTTACTTCCCTAATAAACGCCATAATCTTGAGTATGGTCTGTGACTTCGGTGTGCAGAACCCAGCAGAAAAGTAGAGAGTGCCGGGAGAGAGACGAATGGTTGATGTCAAACAGGGGGAAAGGTTGGAGGGTGTCAGCTTGTCTAAGTTCTGCCTTATGGGAATCAGCTTTGGGGTATTGCTGTCAACCCCTCTCTCTCCCCCTCATGGAGTTGGAGGAGGTTAGAAGATGCCCTTGGCGCCTCATCCCTATCCCCAGCTTGTTGTTGTTGTTGTTAAGTGCTGTCGAGTTGTCTCCAACTCATAGCGACCCCATGCACAGCAGAACAAAACACCGCCTGATCCCGCGCCAGCCCCACAATCCCTGCTATACTTGAGCCCATCACTGCAGCCACCGTGTCAGTCCATCTCGTTGAAGGCCTCCCCCTCTTTCGTCGACCCTCCACCCTACCAAGCACGACATCCTTCTCCAGAGAATGGTCCCTTCTTACAACATGACCAAAATAGGTGAGACGAAGTCTGGCCATTCTTGCTTCCAAGGAGCATTCTGGCTGCACTTCCTCCAGGACAGATCTGTTAGATCTCTCAGCAGTCCGTGGTACTTTCAGCATTCTTCGCCAGCACCACAACTCAAAAGCATCAATTCTTCTTCGGTCTTCCTTATTCATTGTCCAGCTCTCACGTGCATATGAGGTGACTGAAAATACCAAGGCTTGGCTCAGGCTCACCTTAGTCCTCAAGGAGACATCTTTGCTCTTCAGCACTTGAAAGAGGTCCTTTGCAGGAGATTTGCCCAGTGCTGTTTGTCTATCCCCAGCTAAGACCCAGGAATCCTCACTCTAGGCTCCTCCCTTCCTTCCTCCCTCAGCTGAGACCCCAGATCCCCCAGGAGCCACTCAGGTCCCAGAAAGGACAGGTGCCATCCCACAGGAGCCGTGGGAGCGGGGTGGTCGGGGCAGGATGCTGGCGTGGGGGCTGGAGCGGCAGCCATCTCCCATCCCCTGGGCCCTCTCCCTCCATGTCTGCCTCAGCCTCAGGAGCTGCAGCAGCCAAAGTCAGGCCCACTGTCCCCCATTTCCTTCTGCTGGGCTCCCAGCTGTCCCGAGGGGGAGGGTCTTTCTAAGACCCAAGACTTCATTCCTGTGATCATCGGGGCTGAAGAAGCTGGCAGAGGAGGGCGTGGGTGGGACACTGTGAGCCCTGGGAGCTTTCATCTTCGGTTCTTGTTTTCCTCGGCAAAATAATTTACACAGAAAACGCATGTTAAGCAGTGAGCAAAGCCAAGTTCATTGCTACGTTGTCACAGACAAGAACGGGCATCCATCCACAAGCGGTAGGGAGCCCCGCGAGGTCTCATGTCTCTCCCTTTACTCTATTTTGCTCCCTGGCGCTGTTCTGAGCCTTCGCCTCGCTCCGCCTTTTGGGGGGTGGGAGGTTGGCTTGGCTGACACTTAGAGATATTATACCTTTCTGGCTACTGCGCATGCTCTTCCCCGTAACTCACTTGGTTTGCCCGGGGGTGTGTGTGTGTCAAAACTGCGATGCTAACTTATTATAATGATATTGTAATGACTTCAGAGAGGGCGCGTTTTCTCTCTAGTGCGCACGCGCGTTGTGGCTTGGCATTCCCCTTACCGCTGGTGGTTACCTTGTCTCGCTGCAATTGGTTAAAACCTGCTCAGCCCCTGTACGGGCTCTTCCTACCTGACCACCTACCTCACAGGACTGGCCAACAGAAGTGTCCCTGGCCTGGAGGCTGAGGCCCTGGGACCTCGGTCCCTGATTACAGCCCTCAAACACGCGGGCTGCCTCCTCCCCACACAGGGAGCTCAGGCCTGGGGGAGCCAGAAAGGACACCCCTCCTCCCCGGGGGCTGCCCGGGACCGAGGCCTACCCCCCACCCCACCTGCGCTGCCCTGTGTCAGGCTCCTGCAGGCCCTGGACGGTCGGTCCCTGGCACTGCTCAGCCTGATCTCAGTAAATCAGTGTCGGGGTGGGAAGCAGGGTGGTGAGCACACCTTCCAGCCGCAGGAAGAGGGAGGGGGCAGAGCTCCTTCCGGTCAGAAGGTGAACTTGGCCCCCAAATACTCCAAGTGCTGGAGACCCTCCCCATCGACTCCATGGAGACCCTCCCCCCATTTGACTCCATGATGGAGACCCCCCAGGTGCCCAAATCTCCACAGGTGGGGTTGAGGCCTCCAGCCCAGAGGTCTGACAGCTGCCTCCTTCGCTGCCTGGCCCAGGTGGGGTGCCCCTGAGTTGCCCCTATGCCCCAGCCCAGCTCTGGGGCCCCCCACCTTGCAATGAAGACCAAGGAGGCCCAGTGGGCCACGGAGTGAAGGAGCAGGTGCGGAGCTGGAAGGGGGCGGAGGCCAGGCCCCTGGTGGCCTGAGGTTGCTGCTGACCCAGGAGTGTGCACGTATTGAGCACCCGCTGTGTGCAGCCCCCACCTGTCTGTCAGGGGTGCTGTAGGCTGGGCACCGCGGAGCTTCGCGTATTGCTAAGATACGGTGTCATCAGTATTTCAATACCAGCACTGGACTGGTGCCAGTAAGACAGCCTGGGACAAAAGGCCTGGTGACCCGTTTTGGAAAATCAGCCAGTGAGGACCTCACGGACCACAGCAGAACCTGGGCCGACAGGGAGCCGGAGGGGCTGCAGGACCAGGCCCGTGTCATTCTGCTGCTCACGGGTCAGAGCCTACTCGGCAGCCGCCCACACCCTGCGCCAGGCCCCCGGAAAGCAGCGCACAGGCCCCATGGCCCAGACTCCTCACCCCAACTGGGAACACACAGTGCCCAGTGTCCGCCTTTATAGACAGGACGGGTCAGGTGGGGCACCCCCTCTCACGCAGACCGCAGACCCCAGCCTCTGCCCACAGACTGAGCCTGCTGCCCCGCCTGCCCTCCGCCCCACCTGTCACCGAAGGGCTCGGGCAGGCGTTCGTTCACTGGCTTCAAGCCACTTTTATTAAGACCCGCAGTGAGCTGGACTCCACGGCCAGAGCGGCCAGTCAGACCCGCAGAAGGACAGCCAGACAGGCGGGGAGGGCTTTGAGGGTGGGGGACAGGGCCCGCATAGGGAGGACTGAGCAGGGCTGTCACAGGTGGTCGGCAAGGGTTGTCGTTGTGGTTAGGTGCTGTCGAGTCATCTCTGCCTCAAAGCGACCTTGTGAACAACAGCACCAAACACTGCCTGCTGCCTTATGATCCCTACTAGGGTTGAAAACCAAAAAACCAAACACACTCCCATCTAGTCCATTTCATAGCGACCTCCTTTAGGTTTCAGAGGCAATATCACTACGGATGTAGATTGCCCAGTCTGCCTTCCAGAGAGCAGCTGGTGGGTTTGAACCACCAACCTTCTGATAGCAGTCAAATGCCTTAGGCACTACGTCACCAGAACAAGGGTTAGCGGGACCAAAGCCAGTGCTGGGGGAACCTGGGGCTTTTCAGCTTTGGCCACAGGCCCCTCGCTGGCCTTAGGCTCCTAGCAGCCAGCCTATCATGTCGGAGAGGCAGGCGGAGACAGCTTTCAACACATTGCAGGTGGTCCTGGCCACAGCCCGGCCCCCGCCACCGCCATGTCCGCCATCAAGCCGGCCAGGTCGTCCTGCCACACCATCAACATTTGCGTCATCAGCTCCTTAAGCTTTCTGTGGAGCCGGGCCTCAAAGGTCTCCTCCGAATGCCCACTCTCCCAGCTCTCCGGGGGTCGAGGGGCCCTTCGAATTCTGTGACATGAGTCCTGATGTACTTGGGGAGGTAAGGGAGCTACATCCTGCAGGCATGGAGGGCGAGTCAGGTTCAAGGTCAGGGTCTGGGCTGTGTCAGTGCAGCCCCAGGCTTGTGGGACTCTGGGAAAACAGAAGGTCCCCCCCCCAGCAGAAGGCCCTCATGGGAACGCCCTCCATTACCTCCAATGGCTCCGCAGACTGGAGGGAGCTGGCTGGAGGCTCCTGGCGCCTGCGGCTGTATCTGGCTGATGCCCGCTGGCTTCTGGGCCTGGCTCTAGGCACACGCTGGGCTTCATCCACGTCCTGGGTAGAGCGTGGCAGGTGGTGTCCTCCCAAGCTCTTGGGCACGCCCCCTTCCCAGGCAGGAAAGCTGAGCAAGACTCCCACTTAAACCTGGGGGTGTCGGGGTGATGGCCAGGCAGGGCAGGGGGTTCACTCACCGGACTGCTCCTCTGATATTGATCTTCCGCGGCGTCCAGTCCAGCGGGCTCTCATTCCAGTCGTCCTGGAGGGAGGGAGCAGGGTGGCCGCGGGCTCCCTCCTGCCTGCTCTTCCCACTGTGGCCTCCTGTGGGGCAGGTCTGGGCTTCAGGGGAGACTCAGGAGACTGGACCGAGACCTGATTACTGGGGCCAGGTGTGGGGCAAGGGCAAGGTCCAACCTCACCTTTAGCTCTGCCACGCTTGGCTGCACCTGTTGAGAAACAAAACGAGTGGCTTTAAATTCACCCCAGGAGGCCCAGGTGGTGCAAGTCTTTAAGCGCTCCACTACCAGTATGACCCCAGGCAGGGGTGCCTGACTACACAGGCCTGTGAGCTCCATCTGAATGATCAGCCATGGAAACCCTATGGAGTGGCTCTACTCTCCACACGTGGGGTCGCCGTGGTCAGAATGGCCCAGACAGGGAACCAACCAGAACAAAGAATTCACCCGGCCTCCCAGGGTTCAACTTTATGTTCGGGCGCTAGCCCACTCTCAGCTCCTCGTTCCTGCTCCCCCAGCTGGGGCCCAGACACCTGGCACCCCCTGTCTGTGTCTCCATGCTGTGGGACTAGGATGCCCCTCAGTGTCCCTGGCCTCAGCACCCCTCACCTGTGCACTCACGCCCTCACAGGTGTGTCCTGAGGAGTTCGTGGGCATGTGGGGCTGTGGCCCATGTGAGGCCTGAGCAAACCTCAGGTAGCACCATCTCCATGAATCCACGCACTCCACCCAAACTGTGGGGACCACGGGGCTGGGGACACCTGGCTGGAGGTAGGTTCCAGGACACAGTGACCCACCTGAACATCTCCTGTGGGTTGATTTCTGACTTTGTCACGTTCTTCGTCTAGATTCGTGCTGTGAAGAGAGACAGAAGGGGGAGCAGTGTCCTCATCCTTCTCCCTCCTGGGTCCCAGGCCTCCCAGGTGCTCTCCCTCCCGAATGTCTTCAGGGTCTGACAGCAAGACCTGTCCCCCTTCAGAGCCCCAGGCAGACTGACGTGGGGAAGAGCTCCTTGCCATTCCAGTCCTCACCGGCTGGGCAACACAGTTTTCCTGTGGCGGTAACAGTGACACTCAGGCTGTTATATGCCCCCCCTTCCAGTGACAAGTTCTGTGCACACCTGCACCCACACTTACCTGCAGGTAGACCCCCTTGCACACACAAGCATTGCGTGTGCCCATTCCAGTCCTCACAGGCTGGTCAACACGGTTTTCCTGTGGCGTTAACAGTGACACTCAGGCTGTTATATGTCCCCCCTTCACAGTGACAAGTTCTATGCACACCTGCACACACACTTACCTGCAGGTAGACCCCCTTGCACACACAGATGTGTGCGTGTGCCCATTGTGGTGCAGTGTGCTCGGTCAGCTGGTTAAGCCGGGAACTCTGTTTCCCCCAAACCCTACCCTCCATGATCACCGTGAGAGCCAGCCTAGAGAGAACCTGTGGGGCTGGGAGGCAGGAGGCGTCTCTGCAGCCATTCCTCTCTGTGGTGGTGACAGAGAAGCACGGTGCCCAGCTCGGTCCACTCTGCATGAGCTGCTGTTCCTGACTGCCGACCCTGCAGGCTCCCAGACCCCGGACCTACCCCCCGACACTGGGAGGGACCCACAAAGGAGGGAGGTAGCCACAGATTCTGCTTGAGCTCCCATGCCACGGCCGCCATCGGGTGGCTAGAAGCACTTGGCTCCTGGACAGACTGTGTGGTCAGTGCCCCATCCCCTTGCCAAGGTCTGCCCAGCCCTGTCCATAGAAATGATTCAATCAGCAACAGCACTGTGCTGTCAGCCCATGGCAACTGGACAAAGGAAGTGCCACACTGTCCAGCGGGAGGAACTGGCTCTACAGACCCAGCTCCTGGCACAAGGGCAGTCATTAAATCCTGGACGATCCCGTTGGCCCAAGTCCCAGAGCTCCCAGAGCATCTGGTCGACCTCGTGTATGTAGGAAGCAGGGAGAGGGTTGGCTACAGTCCCACAGGGAGAAACAGACATACAGCTCCAGGGCCACACCAGGCACTGGAGCGGACCTTCCCAAGTTCCAAAGAAAGCACTCCAAAGCTTGCCCACTCCCACCTTCCTGACCTTCCATCCCCAGCTCCCCACAACTATCTCAGCTGGGATTTCTAAAATAACGCCCTCGTCCCATGAACACTCATTGTTACGGGGCTCCCCTGACTGAGCCACGGCACCCACCCCCCATAAATACCTAAAGAACATCCCTCCTCCCACACACACAATGAACATAAAACAACATGCCTCCTCCCCCCACACACACACAAAAGGAGTTGCCCCCCAACATTCACCTCCAAGACCAAAGCTCTGACCCCTTAACCAGGATGAGCTACGTAGCTTGGGGGACCCAAAGCACAATGAAACACAAGTCCTTTGTCAAACGTTACTGGGAATTGGAAGACGGTGACGGTAGAGCATTAGACAGATGAAGTGTGGGCTCTGGGCAGAAGCCAGACCAGGGTATGAGCCCCGGCCACCACGTAGAGCCCCGCCATGTCCCCCAAAGATCAGGGGGATCAGGAAGATGAGTGAGGATTCTATGCCCTGCCGTCCTCTCGGGCTTGCTGTCACTCACCTTGGAGTAGCCCATGATAGCTCGGAGTCCAGAAGGCAGTGGCTGATGGGAAGGAAGAGGCAGGAGGAAAAGTGAGCCAGGACTAAAGCGGGCCTCTGCCCTTCCCCCCGGGGAGTCCCTCTGGCCTCGGGGCCCTCAGCTCCCTCCCTGAGATGCCCCCACACCCAAGACCAGCCTTGCCCTTGGAGGCGTCCAGGGCTGGGATAGTCACCTGTGCTGCACCAGACAGACACCCGCGTCTCCTCTCCTTGCAGTCTGCACTAAACCCCACTGAGGTTGCTCCCAAGGGAAGACTGAGCTCATTTTAAAGCAGAGGAAGGAGGAGGTGGTGGAGAGTGGAGGGTGGAGGCTCCTCAAAGCAGGAGGTGGAGGTGAGGGTGTGGCTGTGGGTGACCGAGAGAAAGAGAAACAGAAACAGACAGAGGTCCGAAGGGCGTATGAAGGGTACAGTTGTCTCTTACAGTCTGGATCCCTGGCCTCGGCCTCGCCATTCTCTGAACTGCCAAGAATGGGCGCCTCCCCTGACCTCCTCTGCCTGAGACAGGGGAGGGGCAGAGGGAAAGTGCAGAGCTAGGAAAGAAATGGCAGAAAACTGCAGGTGAGAAGAGGGGGGCCTTCCAGGTCAGGGACCCAGATGCCCAGCTTGAGGCTGGCCAGGTCTCTTAAAGGACCTGCATCCTGGCACCAAAGTCCAGAGAAGATTCTACCACGCTCTCAGTCTGCGACGGGCAGGGACCTGCAAGACCACGAAGGTGGGTCCTCCAGACCAGAGAGCCCCAGCTATGCCACTGCAGGAGGCTCTGGCGGTGAGGTGGACACTTGGGTTGTCCCTGTCTTTTGCCCATGATGAAAAATGCCTCTATACACATTCAAGTCCAAGTTTGTCGGTTTTGTTTGCTTTTTTCAGTCAATACTTGGAAGGTTTTCTTTATTATTTCTTTGCATTCTAATGATCTTTTTCCCAACTTCTCATTCTCTGAGTTTTATTGTTGTTGAAAGTATACACAGCCAAACACACACCCATTCCGCAGTTTCCACCAATGCACTTGGGTGGCACTGATCACACTTTTCAAGCCGTCCAACAACGCTCACCCTCTTCTCATATGTTCCTCCCTCCTCGAGCTTCCCGTCCAACCTTTCGAGTTGCCGATTTGACCCCATATCCACGGGTCTTTAAAAGAGCACTATTTTCAAAGGAGAGAATCCTTCCAAATGAAGCTAAACTATCGTTTGATTTAAAACAGTCTTCGGGGGCTACAACAGTTGGAATTTGAAAAGCTTCAAATTCCCCTCCTGCCCTTCTGTTTAGAGTTTTTCTATCGCATCTCTGGGAGCTCTGGTGGCCTAGTGCCTAAGGCACTTGACTGCTAACCAGACAGCTGGCAGTTCAAACCCACCAGCCCTTCCTCAGAAGAAGATTGGGCAATGTACTTCTGTAGAGATACCACCTCAGAAACCCAAGGAGGTGTTGCTATGAGTCGAATCAACTCAACAGCAGTGAGTATCGCATCTTTGGTCAAAATGTTCAGGAGTGGTAGTCGGGCACCAGCCAGTTCTTGTGGTCTGAAGCCAAAAGAGACATTTGTTCATGGGACCACTTAGCCCCACATTCCATATTTTCTTCCTATTCCTGATTCTCCTAGTGCTGCTGATCCGGGCAAGTGGAGACGAACTGTTGTGCCTGGGATGGACACTTGCAAGCTTTTCAGATTCCAGGCATTACCCCAAGAACACGGAGATGGCAGGATAGAAGCACTAAAAACTGTATCAGCGTGATTAAGTGGATGGCCTATGAAACCAGGACCCTAAATCTCCACACCAAGAAATCATATACCATGAGATACTTGGTTGGACACAGTCAGCCTCAGCAAAACCTTTTTTTTTTTTACAAGTTTTTGTGTGGAGGTATGGTTTCATTTCTCTTGGGCATGCACTTGGGAGTTAAATTACTGAATCATATGATAATTCTATATTTAAACTCTTCAAGAACTGACAGACTGTTCTGCAAAGTGACCAGCAATGTAGGACGGTTTCAGTTTCTTGCCACCCACCAACAGTTGCTATTGTCCATCTTGTTTTTATTTTTATTGGGGTTTGAATGAAAGCTCACAGAGCAAATTCATTTTCTGTACGGCAGTTCATACACATTTCGTTTCATGACATTGACTGCAATTCCCCACAATGCAACAGCTCTCTTCCCTCTTCCTCCCTGTAGTTACCACTGCGCTGCCCGGTGTCCTTCTTTCCTGTGCATTCCGGCCCCCTGGGCTGTCTCCCTGTGCAAACACTGCCCTTCTGATCTCCCAAGACTGATCATTCTAAGGAGTGTGTCTGCCTGATGTAAATGTTCACCCCATATGCCTGTCTATTGATTGGCTGGAAGCCATGGGAATGAGTTCAATTTCAGACCTGAAGGGTAACTAGGGGCCATGTTCTCAGGGATTTCACCAGGCTCCATCAGCCCAGTAAATCTGGCCTTTTTTTTTTTTTTAAGGTTTTGATTTTGTTCCACTTTGTTCTCCCACTCTATTCAGGATCCCTGCACTGATCCCTTTCCAAGTGGTCGACAGTGGTAGCTGGGCACCACCTAGTTCTGGTCTCATGGTCCTATGGCTGAGGTTCACATGGTCCACCAGCCCCTTGGACTAGTTGTTTCCATGCATCTTTGGTTTTCTTCATTCTTCTTTGCTCTGGACAAGGAAGATCCATTGTTGCATCTATTTGGCCACTTGCAAGTTCTTAAGACCTTAGTTGCTACTCAAAAAACTAGGATGTAGAACAATGTTTTTGTGTAGTATGTGATGTCGATCGAGGCGGTGGGACGACTGCACTGGGAGAAGCACCCGGAAGCTCCGAGCAGCTGGTGGGGAGAGGGGCTGAATTTTCCCGGCCAAGCCAGTCTGATCCGGCCCGAACAGCCGCCAGCCACTGCTGCCAGGCGGGAGGGGGCCCGGGAGGAGCCGGCTGAACTGCGGGAAGGGCCAGCAGTTACGGGAAATGAAAGGCCCTGCTGAACTCAGTGGGGTCCAGAGCCTGGTCCCCCTCCCAGCAAAGGGCCAGCCCTTTGTCCTGCGCCTACCCTATAAGGCGAGCTCCCCCACTTTCCACGTCCCTCCCGCCACCCTGCCTTCTCCCCAGAGGGGTCTGGAGGGAGGGGCTGGAAGCGGGGACCTCCGCGCGGTCCGCTGTGCCCTTGGCGGCCGCCCTCCGCCAGACACCTGCGTCCGCGCGGTGCCTGAACGCGCGCGCCCCTGGCGACTGGATCCCGAGGCCGCGCGGCCGCTGGAGCGGAGATGCGCCCTGGAGCCGGAGGGGTGTGTGTGCAGGGCCGGCGCGGTGCAGCCGTCCTGGGGGCGCCCCTCCGCGGAGCCCCCAGTCCTCAACCCCGAAGCACACGATGGAGAGGCAAGCTACTCGCACCGCCTGCGAAGTCCAGTGGTGGGGGATTCTGCGCTCAGGTTGCTTCCCGCTCAGGGACAGGAGGGGCAGCCGGAGAGGCAGGCGCCGAGACCCCGCGGCCTGATTGATCTCGCACTGACAATCGCACTCTCCAGGCTTGGGGGGACGTTTTTTGGGGTCACCTCTGGGGGCGGGACAGTCCAGCCACTTGGGCCCTATGGGGCGGGGGGAGTCCCGATCGGCCGCGACGCCGCCCGTGGCGAAGCGCCAGCCGTAGGCGCCCTTAAAGAAGTAGGTGTCACCTGTGGGAGCCGAGGAGACACTTCAGGGTCAGGGCCCAGGCACACCCCAAGCCGGCCCCATTCGCCTCCCTCTGGGTCTTTCTCCAGAGCTCCCCCTAATCCCCCAGGATTACCTCTGCCTTTGTGGCTCCAGGGACCCCCAGCCCATCCCCAAGGCCAGCTCCTTCCCTTGCGTTGCTGACTGTAACCTCGTAGAAGGCAGAATGCACCTCTACCCAGAGACTTGGGGTGAGCGGGTAGCTGGGGTTCCGTCTGGCCACCTCTTCATCCCACATCCAGGGACCAGGTAGGGTCACGGGGACATGGCGACCCCCTGCTCACCCCGAAGCAACGCCCGCCCAGTTGAGGGTCCTTGAACACCCAGAGCAGAGAGTCTGGTGGGAGGGGGCCGCCGCTCAGGGTGGGCTCGCACCTCCACCCAGGTCCTGGTGGGCCGCCCACGTCACCCCAGCCCCCGGTATCCCCGACCCGGCTCACTGCTGAAGAGGACAATTCTGCAGTCTGGGTGGCGCAGGCAGGGGGCTTGGGTGACCTTCCTCTGGGTGGGCCGTCCCTCCCAGAAGCAGTGCCGGGCACACAGTGGGGCCACAAGCTCTCCTGGGGCCTGGAGGCGCTGCAACCAGAGACCGTGGGGCCAGTCACGGAGAAGTCTGAAGCAGGAGGTCTTTCCCGGGTGTCCCTGTGGGATGCCAATGGTTAAGCTTGTCTCCTAACTGAAAGGCTGGAGTCCGCCCGAAGGACCAAGACAGACCCAGCATTTACTTCTGAAAAATCAGCCATTGACACACGCGGGGGCGCTACAAAACCCACTGCCGTGGAGTTGATCTTGACTCACAGCAAGCCCTCCTCGGGTTTCCAAGGCGGTATCTACACGGAAGTAGATTGCCCGGTCTTCCTTCTGAGGACTGGCTGGTGGGTTTGAACCGCCACAAGTGGTTGGTGTTTCGCTTTGTTTTTCCCCGGCTGTGTGGCTGGGGGTGTTGGGCCCAGTGCTGGGCGGCCGCTCCCATGGACTGTGGGGACCCAGCTGGAAGTCGGGGTGCAGTGGATTGGGGTGACTGACTCGTCCTGGTTTGCCTGGGCCTTTCCTGATTTTAGCACTGAAAGTCCCACATCCCAGGAAGCCCCCTGTCACCGTAAGACATCAGCCACCTGGGCCCAGGTGAGCAGTGAAGTGACTCACCTTTGAAGAAGAAGGTTTCACCCCTGATGTTGGCGACACCGGTCAGGGATGGGGGAGGAGGGGCTGCAGAGGAAAGGACGGATGAACAGAGAGGGGCGGGGGCTCCTGGTCTCCTCTCTTCACTCCACAACAGTCCCGTGAGGCCAGGCCTCTGACCCCCATCTCACAAAGGAGGGGGCAGAAGTTAGGGAGCTGCCCCACATCACACAGCTGGTGGGACTCACCTGTCCGGGGGCAGAACCAGGGGCTGGGGGGGAGGAGCCAGGGTCTTCCTCGTGGGCTCCTCGTGTGCGGGTTGGGGTCTTTTCCCTGCAAGGAGAGAGTCGGGGGGCATAGGTTTCCCTGGCCCGGCTGCCAAGCCCTGCAAAGCTGGCTGGGGCACTGCCATCCCCACCCATACCATAGAGCTGCTACGGGCCGTCACACTCAACCTGGGACAGGTGGTACTGGTTGGAGTCACCCATGGGACCCTGGTATAAAGGTCTCATGATGGAGTCAGGTGCTGAGGAGTGGGCCAGGCCCAGGACGTGGCCAAACCCGTGAACAGGCACAGCAAACAGGTTGGTGTCCGAGTCATTTGGGGATTTAGTGAGGGAGAGAGAGCTGGTTGTGGCCACCTTCACACCAGGAAAGGGGCAGCCCCTGGGAGTGGGGACAACTGAGGATCAGGAACAGTCTGGAGACCCTCTGAGTGTGGGTCAGGGCCCCTCTGCCCATACATGTCCCTGGGCCATTTCACCATTCATGTATTCATTCATTCATTCATTCATTTAGGAGAGGCTTTGGGTACCACCTACTTGAAGGTGCTAGACCCTGGGCCCAGAATAGAAAAGATATCTACTGGTCGTGGGAGAAATGCTTGGGCAGAGGAAAGGGGAACTTACACAGGTGCAGTCCCTCAGCCCAGGAGTGTGGGCTCTGCAGATGTAGGAACACTGTGGGCGGAAGCAGGCCCCTGAGGGGTGCATGAAGTTCTCCAAGGAAGCCCTGGCCAATGGAGCTGCCCCTCCTCCCAGCACAGTCTACAGACGACCCCCTGGCCCTTTCTGCTCCTCTGTCCTGGGAAGTGTGGCAGAGGAAACAGGGTAGCGTCTGATTGAAATTAAAAGTAAAGAGCTTTTATTGAGGAGTAAGCCAATTTGCAAATCGGGAATCACAAAGTCCTGAGTATTCTCCACTGAGTGATCCAAGGAGGAGACAGTTCAAAGAGTTTATATAAGAAAATAAAAGGAAATTCAGTGATTGGTGGACATTAAGGTGGTAGTTACAAAATTGGGTAATGGTACGTCTGGTTGGTAGGGGATTACATACATTTCTAACATTTTTTTTTTTTTTAATATTACAAAGAAATCACTAAATTGGGTACATCTGGCCTGAAAATAATCACTAGACTTTCCTTGCAGTGACTGTAGGGAGGACGTGTATAATTCTAAAGTTTGTTTTGAGTGAACATTATTCTGAGAATACTTTTGGACCTGGCTTCTTAGGCAACAAACAAAACCTGTAAGGCAACAAAATTACATAGTTTTCAGGGTTTGTTTACCAGTAATTTTCTCAGGGTACAAGGGAGATTTAGAGGAAAGACAGGCTGATGCTGAGGTTATTTTTTATTTAAAATGGAGCTTTAGCCTCAGATCTGAGCATAGCCACCATCTCACATCAGGAGTCCTATGTTAATTTGGTGTGCTCTTTCTCAGTCCCCCCTTTTGATCAGGAATCTCACGAGAAAGAGATGCCTTGATCTTAAGCCTTCCCCTGGTTGTGTTAGGAGTCTCATCTTCAAGGTGAGTTGATTTTCAGATCTGTCTCATCACCCACAAAGGAGTAACTTGCTTTGGCAAGGTCTTTTCTCACTGGATGGGGACGGCAGTCTGTCTCCACAGACATTGAAGACCCCAGACACTGCAATTAGACAGCCAGGCATCATTGGATGTGAAATAGTGGGTTGGGAGAGCAAGGAGCTGGCTGGGCTGAAATGAGAGCCTTTCCGTGGCATGATGAGAAGCTGAGACTCTGGCAAGAGGCTAAACTCATGTGAGTAACAGCTTTTTTAACTTAATACATGTTTGTTGGTTGGTAGGAATGGCATTATTAGCTTCTTTGAATGTATTAGACATATGTCTCACACAATATTTGATGATACAAATGGTTATAGCAACAACAAGTATAATTAAACTAGTCTGTGAAATAGAACAAAGCCAAGATCCTGTGCCTTTGGGTAACTAACTAAAGATGTCTGAAAGGGAAGTCAGGACAGGAGGCTAGGATGCAGCAATGTAGCTTTTTGGCAGATCTGTTTAATGTTTTGTTCTACTTCTCCTGAAGAGTTTATGCTAGCCATTGGCTGAGCTAACCTGAGAAATGCATCCTTACGTTAGGGTTCAAGGGGAATTGTGAAACCTGAGAAAGAAAAACCCTAAGATCACCTTCATACTGTAGGGAGATGATGCAAGTGGACAGAAAGCAGACAAATGATGTTGATGTTGTTGTTGTTGTTGTGTACCATCAAGTTGGCCACAACTCATAGGGACCCCTCCTTGAGTTTCTGAGGAGGTATCACTACGGAAGTACATTGCCCAACCTTCCTTCTGAAGAATGGCTGGTGAGTTTGAACCGCCAGCCTTCTGGTTAGCAGTCAAGTGTCTTAGGCACTATGCTACCAGATGACAGTCATAAAATAGGCTTTCAATGATTGGCATATAAGATGAAGGGAGAACTGTTTAAAGGAATAATAGAAAAACAATCACAATATTAAAAGCAAATAGGTACATTCAGATTTCTGGGTTGTGCACAGAATATAGGGACTGAGAGTTTAGCAACTTTTTGACAGTCAATACAATCTAATTTATAGAATCAAGTGACTTTAAAACCTGTACCTATCAAGCAAAGTGTAACAATTTCAAAAGCTGACTTAGAAGTTTATTAAAATCATCAAAAAATAACACCAAGAAAAATGGCAATAATTAAGAAAGAAAGTCCAAAAGTTCAAATTCTGTGGTAACTTGCATGGATCTTGGGTTCAGCTTTCTACTTCCGGTACAGCCGTCAGCTTCCGGCCGGCAGCGTGATGGGATTTCAGTTTGAGTCCTGTGGTTGGTTGGGGAGTCCAGTGATGCTTATTTATTTATTTTCAGGGAAGTCTGAGCTTTGGCTCTGTAATTTCGCAGGACAAGGGTTAGTGAGGAGGACAAACGGGAACTTCCTTACCAAGTTTCCAGTGAGTGCTTCATTTGAGGTCTTTTCCAATACACACATTCTTCTTGGGTTCTGGGGGCAATGTTAAGCAGTTTTTAGGATTTTGACTTGTGCTTATCAAAGGCCTTCTTAACGCATGAAACACATATTCTTCTAAGGTGAAATTTAGTAGATGCAGCATTTTATAATAATAGAAACAATTAGGCAGATTCCAAAACACAGAATGAGGCAGCAACCATATCCATTGCCATCCAGTCAATTCCGGCCCACGGTGACCCCCGGTGCATTTCCAAGGTGGTCAATCTTTGCCAAAGTAGATCGCCCCATCTTCCTGCCACAGAGCGGTTGGCAGGTTTGAACCACCCACCTTCTGGCTAGCAGTCAAACGCCTTAGGCATTGTGCCACCAGGGCTCCCTTTTAAGGAATCAACAGGATTGTTCAAAACCAACGTTAACAATCAGTTATAACAATGGCACAGGGATCTTTTGGTCTTGTAGTAAGGATGTCAAAACCAAAAAACAAAACCTCCACCATCGAGTCAATCCCAACTCATATAGGGTTTTTAAGGCGGTCGCCTTTACAGAAGCAGACTGCCTCACCTTTATCCCACAGAATGGCTGGTGGGTTAAAACCACTGACCTCTGGTTCACAGCTGAGTGCCTTAACCACTGTGCCACCAGAGCTCCCAAGGCTTTTAAAGTCCATTTGATTCTGAAGAACTGTTTCTCTTATTCTAGTCATTTCAGCTGTCTTTATTATTATTTTTTTACAAGCCACAGGCAGAATTGTTCAAATCATCCTCAATATATTTAGTTCAAAGTTTGGCATGTGTTATAACACCTTTTAATCCACAGGATATTCTGCAGTTAACACAACGTTATTAGTTACTGAACTAACTGATTCTTATATTGAAAGAAGGAAAGGAAAAAAAAATGTTTCCTGTGTCTAGAAAGCGAAACATTGAACATCAATAATAGTCTATTACTGATAGAACTATCAGTAATAGTAATAGTCTTATGTCGTTAATTTTGGTTTCCATAATTCTGGATCAACAGCGGTCTGTTAGCTTTTGCATAAGAGTTTTGATGTGTGTGTGGTTTTGTGTGTGAGTGTGTGTGTGATTTGGGTGAAAGTTTACAGAGCAAATTCATTTTCCATACAGCAGTTCACATGCACTTTGTCTCATGACATTGACTACTATTTCCCACAGTGCAACAGCTCCCTTCCCACTTCCTCCCCATAGTTACCTCTTCCCTGTGTCCATCCCTCCATGCACCCCTGCCCCCTGATCTGTCTCCCTGTGCACACACAGCCCTTCTATTTTCCCATGATTGATCTCTCCAAGGAGTGTATCTACCCAATGTAAATGTTCACCTTATATGCCTGTCTTTTGTTTGGCTGGAAGCCACAGGAGTGGGTTCAATTCCAGACCTGAAGGGCAGCTAAGGGCCAGTCTCAGTGGTTCCATCAGGCTCTATCAGACCAGCAAACCTGGTCCCCCACCCCCCCTTTTTTTTAAAATGATTTTGAGTTTTGTTCCACATTGTTCTCCGTCTCTATCCAGGATCTCGTACATAGATCCCCCTCTGAGTGGCCGACAGTGGTAGCCGGGCACCATTTAGTTCTTCTTGTCTCCTAGTCGGACAGGCTGAGAATTGCATGGTGTAGCAGTGGGATTGCACCATTTTCTAAGCACAATAACTCATTCAACACAGCATTTCTGTGTAACCGACTTAGTAAACTTTGTTTTTTCAGCTCTGACTCATACTGACCCATGAGTGTCAGAGCAGAACTGTGTTCCACAGGGTTTGGGGGTTGATTTTTTTTTTTTTTTTTTTAATTTTTATTGTGATTTGGGTGAGAATTTATAGAGCAAATTCATTTTCCATACAGCATCCTATACACATTTTGTTTCATGGCTTTGACTGCAATTCCCCACAGTGTACAGGTCTCTTTCCACTTCCTCCCCATAGTTACTTTTTCCCTGTGCATTGCGGCCCCCTGAGCTGTCTCCCTGTGCAAACACTGCCCTTCTGTTCTCCCATGACTGATCACTCCAAGGAGTGTATCTACGTGATGCAAATGTTCACCTCATACACCTGTCTTTTGTTTGGCTGGAAGCCACAGGAGTGGGTTCAATTCCAGACCTGAAGGGCAGCTGGGGGCCATAGTCTCAGGGGTGTGTCACCAAGTTCCATCAAACCTGGTCTTTTTTTTTTTTTTTTTTTTTTTATGCTTTTGAGTTTGGTTTTACATTGTCCTCCCACTCTGTCCAGGATCTCTTGTGCTGATCCCCCTCCAAGCGGGTGACAGTGGTAGCCAGGCACCATCTAGTTCTTCTGGTCTCACGGTCATAGAGGCTGAGGATCGCACAGTGTACCAGTCCCTTGCACTAATTGTTTCCATGCATCTTTACTTTTCTTCATTCTTTGCTCTGGATGAGGAGAGACTCACTGCTGCATCTAGTTGGCTGCTTGCAAGACCCCAGTTACTTCTCACCAAAGTAGGATGTGGAACGTTTTGTGTAGTATGTTATGCCCATCGAGCTTGATGTCCCCTGGGACCATGGTCCCAAGCCCACAGGTCCAACCACTCCCTCCGTCAGGGTGGCTGGCCGTGGCCAAGAAGCCACCGCAACCTTGCCCCTTGTCAGCTTGTAGCAGCCTCAATAACCTTCAGGGCTGAGGCAGATGACATTTAGCAACGAAAACAACCCCAACTGTCCCATTGGACACTCTTCTCCATGACCCCCCAGCAGCCCCTGGGTTCCTCTCCCCACTTCCTCCTCCCCCCATTCTCCTGCACTCCCTCCCCTGCTGTCCCCCATCAAGCCTGGGTTCCAACTTCCAAAGAACACAGCCCCTCAACTCTGTCCAGTGCCACCACCAAACGTGACCCCCGGCTCAGCACCATGGATACTCAGGGAAAACGAAGGGCTTTTGCTCCACTCATTTTTACTGGCTCCCCAACGGGCTGAAGCGCTGTAAAGTACAAGCTTTCTCTTCCCCCAAATTGGAAAGAAACCTGTCAGAGGTCAGATGGCTTTCTGAGCAGTTGGCATTGCCAGGCCATGGCCTGGGGAAGATGCCTGGCTTCTGCCTTTGACTGGTCTGGTGGTGGTCAGCTGGGGGCACTTGTCCTGCCCCCTGGGACTGCCGCCCACAGCCTCAGTTCTAGGAAGCAGCTGGGGCAGCTGCTGAGGCTGGAAGTGGCCACTGTGGGGGACCCCACCCCTGGGAGTGAACACCCATCCCCAAGCCATCAGCTGCCTTTGTAGAGAATTCAGGAAGATCATTGGCCCCTGGGAGGGAGAGGATGACAGGGATAAAGAGATGCCATGGGCCACTCCCCATCGGGGTCCCCATGCTCCTTCCCCCTTCCAACCTGTTAAAATGCAGATTCCTGGACCCGCCCCCAGGGTGAGGAGTCTGGGAGTCAGTGGCGGGGTTGTGAGAGCTGTATTGTTCTCAGGTGACTCTGATGTGGGATATTCCAGAAGCCCAGTCCCACAGGCCCTGCCTAAGGATGCCATCAGATGTGGGCTGTCCGCTCTTGGGTATAGGCGCTGAGCTCAGCCCGAGTGTGATGCGGGGGGTGGGTGAGGGATACAAGAGGTGCCCCTAGAGAGTGAAGAGGCCCGAGCACAGGCCCCACCCACCCCTCACAGAGACAGCGCCCCGGGTGGGGAGGTGTTGACCTGGGCTTGGGCTGGAACTCTCAATCAGCACGTGGCCGGTGGGCTGAGCAGTTCCTGACGGATGCCGCAGAGCGCCCCCGTGTGGAAGGCGGTGAGTGGATTTTAGAAATAGGCGGCTGACCTGGTGAAGGCGGGGTGGAGGGGCAGGCTGGGTCCCTCCCTCGGGGTGGGGTCCAGGCTGGAGCCAGCGGGGTGGGGTGGGGGCTGGCAGCTCACTGCCACCGAGGGGGGCTCAGAAGGTCGTCCTCTGTGGCCACTGTCTTCACCCTGGACCTGGGACACTGATCTCAGGGGTGGTCTCAGGGCTGGGTCGGGGCACCACCAATGTGAGGGGACTACACTGGGACGTCCTGGGGGGCGGGGTGAGAAGCACCTGGGAGCTCGGAGCAGCAGCGGGGGACGGGGGCTGGGTTGGGACATTCCCTGCCCCGCTGGTCCTCATCAAACAGCCTCCAGCACCTGGTGCCAGGCGGGGCGGGGGCGCAGAGGAACCGGCTGCAGCTGCGGAAAAGACCAGCTCTTCTGGGACGTGGAAGGTCCTGCCGGGATCAGCCCGGCCCAGGGCCAGGTCCCGCCTCCCAGCAAAGGGCCAGACCTTCTTCCTGCCCCTGAACTAGCTGTCCCCACCCCTCCCAGTCCTGACTTCACCCAGACAGCCCCCTGGGGAGGGCGGCAGACCCTGGCTCCGGGTGGCCCGCAGTGACCCCTGGCGGCCGCCAGCAGCCAGACACCTGCCGCCGCGCGCTCACAGAGCCGGGGCGCCCCCTGGCGGCAGGCTCCGGAGGCGGCGCGGCTGCAGCCGGTGAAGCCGCACCTTGCAGGGCTGGAGGTGTGGTGTGTGCAGGGGCCGCGCGGGGGTGCAGGCCTGGGGGTGTCCCTCCGCGGGAAGTCCGTACACCTCCAGACCAGCGGAGCCCCCCGGTACCCCAGCCCAAGAAACACGATAGCGAGCCAAGTGACTTGTAATCGGCCCGCAGGTCTGAAGGTGGGAGATTCTGCGCTCAGGTTGCTTCCCGCTCAGGGACAGGCGACGCCCCCCACCAGCAGGGACAGAAGGGCCAGCAGGAGAGGCAGGCGCCGAGACCCCGCGGCCTGATTGATCTCGCACTGACAATTGCAATCTCCAGGCTTGGGGGATGCTTTTGGGGGGTCACCGCTGGGGGCGGGACAGTCCAGCCACTTGGGCCCTATGGGGCGGGGGGAGTCCCGATCGGCCACAACGCTGCCCTTGGCGAAGCGCCAGTAGTAGGCGCCCTTGAAGAAGTAGGTGTCACCTGTGGGGCCGAGGAGACACGTCAGGGTCAGGGCCCAGGCACACCCCAAGCCGGCCCATTCACCTCCCTCTGGGTCTTTCTCCAGAGCTCCCCCTAATCGCCCGGGATTGCCTCTGTGTCCTCGGTTCCAGGGGCCCCCAGCCCATCCCCAAGGCCAGCCCCTTCTCCAGCGACCTCCCACCTGTGTTGCTGACAGTGACGTCGTCGGGGGCAGAAGGCGCCCCTTCCCAGAGACTCAGGGCGCGTGGGTAGCCGGGGTCCGGGCTGGCGGCCGCCTCGTCATAGCGCCAGTACTGCTGGCCGCGCACCAGGTAGGTCCTCCCGTTGAGTGGCCAGGAGAACACGGCGTCCACCTGCTCCCCGGGGGGCAGCCCTAACTCGGTCAGTGGCCGCGCCCCACCCTCCAGCTGCCGGTCCTTGAACACCCAGAACTGGGGCCCTGGTGGGAGAGGGCAGCCCGCCAGGGTGGGCTTGCATCTCCACCCAGGTCCTGGTGGGCTCCCTTCGCCATCCCAGCGCCCGGTATCCCCGACCCGGCTCACCACTGAAGAGGAGGATGCGGCCGTCTGGGTGGCGCGCGTAGGCCGCCTGGATGACTCTGACCTGGCTGGGCAGCCCCTCCCAGAATCGGTGCAGCCTGGCGGGCCGCGGAGACACCAGCTGTCCTGAGGGCTGGACACGCCAGAACCAGGGGCCTGGGGGGAGGACGGGTGGACACAGGGCCAGTCACAGAGAAGTCGCAATCACGAGGTCTTCCCCAGGCGTCCCTGGGGGGTGTGAACGGTTAACCACGTCTGGGAACTGAAAGGCTGGCCGTCCACCCTAGGCACCGCGGAAGAAAGACCTGCAATCCCTTCTGAATGATCAGCCATTGCTAGCCCCAGGGAGATGGCTCTGCTCCGACAGGTGGGACGCCACAAGTGGTTTGTTTCTCTGTTTTGTTTTTCCCCAGCTGTGTGGCTGGGGGTGCTGGGACCAGGGCTCAGCCCCCCTGCCACGGACTGTGGAGACCCAGCTGGAAGTCGGGGTGCAGTGGATTGGGGTGACTGACTCGTCCTGGTTTGCCTGGGCCTTTCCTGATTTTAGCACCGAAAGTCCCACATCCCAGGAAGCCCCCTGCCACCCTAAGACGTCAGCCACCTGGGCCCAGGTGAGCAGTGAAGTGACTCACCTTTGAAGAAGAAGGTTTCACCCCTGATGTTGGCGACAGCATCGAAATTGGCCTCACACCGGTCGGGGATGGGGGAGGAGGGGCTGCAGAGGAAAGGATGGATGAACAGAGAGGGGCGGGGGCTCCTGGTCTCCTCTCTTCACTCCACAACAGTCCCGTGAGGCCAGGCCTCTGACCCCCATCTCACAAAGGAGGGGCCAGAAGTTAGGGAGCTGCCCCACATCACACAGCTGGTGGGACTCACCTGTCCGGGGGCAGAACCGGGGGCTGGGGGGGAGGAGCCAGGGGCTTCCTCGTGGGCTCCTCGTGTGGGGTTTGGGGCCCTTTCCCTGCAAGGAGAGAGTCGGGGGGCGTGGGTTCCCCTGGCCCGGCTGCCAAGCCCCGAGAGCCTGGTTGGGGCACCTCCACCCCAACCCGTACCATAGAGCTGCTGCAGGCCGTCGCGGTCATCCTGCGACAGGCGGTACTTGCTGGGGTCGCCCACAGGGCCCTGGTAGAAGGGTCTCATGATGGAGTCGGGTGCCGAGGAGTGTGCCAGGCCCAGGGCGTGGCCAAACTCGTGAACAGCCACGGCAAACAGGTCAGTGCCCTCACCATCTGGGGAAGGACGGGGGGCGGGGGCAGTGGCCGGGGTCACACTCGCACCAGGAAAGGGGCAGCCCCCTGGGAGTGGGGGCGCCCGGCAGTCAGCAGCAGCCAGGATGCCCTCTGAGTGTGGGCCAGACCTCCTCTGCCCGTACGTGTCCCTGGCCATTTCACCATTTATGTATTCACTCGTTCATTAGTACAGACTTTGGGTACAGCCTACTTGATGGTGCTAGACCCCAGGACCGGAACTGAAGACCTATGCACTGTTCTTGTTGAGGAAGAAACACCTGAACAGAGGAAGGGGACAGATGTAGCCCCCACCTCCACCATCCCAAGGGTGGCCTCTGCGGATGTAGGGACACTGGGAGTGGAAGCAGGAAGCCGAGAAGTGCTCACAGTTCTCTCAGGAAGCCCCCCTCCCCACCCTCGGGACCACCCTTCCTCTCAGAGCAGCCTAGGGACCTGCCCCTGCCCATTTCCATTTTCCTCTCCTCGACCTCAGCCCCCAGACCTCCCGCCTCACCCCTGTCCTCCATTCTCTCTCCACCCTCCCTTCGTCCCCATGCTTGCCCTCCCTCACCGCAGTCATTATCTACCACCTCAACTGGCTCTCTCAGACCACAGCCTCCTGGCCCGGCTCCCCAAGCCTCTCCAGCCACTATCTCCTCTTCTCTGGGGACCCACGAGAGGCCGGAAGAGACAGAGACAGGCAGATCCTGGCTGCCCCGCGGGGACATAGGCTTCTTCAGACGTTGCATTCCTTAATGGACGTCTCTAACCAGGGCTAGTGGAGCCCATTGGGGGTTCACAGGAAATGAGCTGCAATCTGCAAAGCTGCCCACCCTCAGTGCCCCAGGGTCACAGGAGAGCAGGGACTGAGAGGCTGGGCCGTCACAAAGCACAGTGCTCTCCCTCACTCCCCCTCCGCCCTGTGTCCCCACATTCCAGGTGGGGACACGGAGGCACGGAGAGGCCAAGCTGTGTGGCAGTGCTGGGAGGGGGACAGGCACTCCTTGGACAGCGACTTCACATGTCCTGGTTCCCTTTGTGTCACCACCCGATTTTCCGAGGGCACTGAGTTTGCTTACTGCTCTGTGTCCTACTTCTGAGAGTCAGGAAGAGCGTGTCTGAGTCAGGTGGACACGCTCACTTCCGTCTCCGTGTGCAGCCCTTGGCTGCTCGGGCCCAGCTGGCCTCCAGCTGTGGACACCATCCCTGCACCTCTCATACTGTCCTTGCACCCGCTCGTCCTACGCAGCTGCAGGAAATGTAGAACTGGGCAGATCCCTAGGGGGCCTTAGCTCAGCAGGTACCCCCTGCAAGCAGCAACCTTCTTCTCTCCTCTCAGCCTCGATTCCAGGCTCACAGCCCCCAGCCCCCCACTTTCCGATTGCAGATGTTGACAAATGCATTTCCTATTTCACCAAAACAGGTCATCAGATGTAATCTGCCCCAGAAGTACACAGCACATTTCCCCATGCTCACCTCCTGCCTCCTGAACTACCACTATGGTTGGCTCACTTCTGAAACAATGCCCTATCCACCCACTCACCCACCCATCCATCCACCCACTCATCCATCCATCCACCCACCCACCCA